TGTATAATGTTAAAATGCCACATTCTCTTTGTAGGTAATTCTATTCAATCACATGTTGCAACAATTTCAAATAATGATGAAACTTGAATATCTCCGGCTTCCCCTCCCTAAACTTTTTTTCCCCTCCCTTAAAACATTTTATCAGATGTAAAAAATAAATAAATAGGTATTTTTAATTCTAAGCAAGAAGTCCAGGATGGATACATCCTTCAGTGGCCATCATGGGAAATCGGGGTCAAATATTTCTGGCGAACTGTTAAAAGTAGTGGTAGATTAATATCAACCTAATACAAGGTAAAAGGTAACGTTAAAGGTTCCCCTCACACATATGTGCTAGTTGTTCCAGACTCTAGGGGGCGGTGCTCATCTCCATTTCAAAGCCGAAGAGCCAGCGCTGTCCGAAGATGTCTCCGTGGTCATGTGGCCGGCATGACTAAATGCCGAAGGAGCACGGAACGCTGTTACCTTCCCACCAAAGGTGGTCCTTATTTTTCTACTTGCATTTTTATATGCTTTTAAACTGCTAGGTTGGCAGAAGCTGAGACAAATAACGGGAGCTCAGTCTGTTAAGCGGCGCTAAGGGTTCGAACCACTGAACTGAATTTCACCTCTCGCTTGGGCTAAGACTGATGGTTATCTCCTGCAGATGTCCACATGATCTTGTGTCTGTGGAGGTTCTCAGTTATCGAGGTCCTGGCTGAGGTGAAAAAAAATCACCTTTGGGATGTGATGTTGTGCGGGAGGGATTGGCTTAATGACAGGAACTGGAAGTGCTAGAACTACTATCATAAGTCTTCAGAACCATGTGACGTCATGCTTTAATTTAGTGCAATCCTTCTCATCTTCTAGGTCAAAAGAGAGAAGATGGAAAGTTGTAGGAGCCGACCAATGTAGTGGCGCAGTGGTTAGAGTGCGGTACTGCAGGCTACTTCTGCTGTCTGCCGGCTGCTCAAGGTTGACTCAGCCTTCCATCCTTCCAAGGGTGGCAAAATGAGGACCCAGATTGTTGGGGGCAATATGCTGACTCTGTAAACTGCTTAGAGAGATATGTAAAGCACAGTGAAGCAGAATATAAGTCTAAGTGCTATTGCTAACTCTGCCCACTGCCAGGAGTTTGATTCTGACTCAGCCTTCCATCCTTCCAAGGTGGGTAAAATGAGGACCCAGATTGTTGGGGGCAATGGGATGACTCTGTAAACCGCTTAGAGAGGGCTGTAAAGTGGTATATAAGTCTAAGTGCTATTGCTATCAGAGGAAAGTATCTGGACTGAATCAGGTTGTGGAGCTATCTAGCTCAGTATACCCAGAATTCTAGGCACCCAGCGTGCTTCCTCTTAGAGAAGAATCAAAGACAGGCAGTCCTCTATTTACAACATTCACTTAGTGACTATTCAAAGTTACAAAGGCACTGAAAAAAATGTGGCATGACTGTTTTTCAAAGTTGTGGCCATTGCAGCATCCCCATGGTCACGTGATTTCCATTCGGATGCTTGGCAACCGACTCACATTCATGACGGTCGCAGTGTCCCAGGGTCACAGGATCCCCTTGTGCAACCTGACAAGCGAAATCAATGGGGAAAACAGATTCACTTAACGACCATATTACTGATTTAACAACTCTGATGATTCACTTAACAACTGTTGTAAGAAGGATGGTAAAACGGGGCAAAACTCACTTCACAAATGTCTCACTCAGCAACATAAATCCTGGGCTTGATTGTGGTCATAAGTCGAGGACTTCCTGTATCCTTACAAGCTTCCTGTATCCTTACAAGAGCCAAGGTGGCGCAGTGGTTAAATGCAGCACTGCAGGCTACTGCTAGATCAGCAGGTCAGCGGTTCAAATCTCACCGGCTCAGGNCACTGCCCGAATCTGCTGCCAGATGCACTGGCGGGTCACGACCAATACCAAGCAGAAATCTTACCCAAAATTTGAAGTAGAACAAGGCTTCTCCTCAGGCATCCCGCCGCTCGACCTTGCTTCATATTTCAGGGCAATCAAAGATGTGCTTTTGTTATTCTTGTGTTTGTTTCTTTCTCCTCCTGCCGCTGATTTGTGTTGCTCTTCCATCACTGAGGAAAAAAAAGGCAAGCACCTTTTTCCAAATTAATTATCACTGTGAAAAGGTGGGAGGTTCCTGTGTTGTGCAATCAAAATTCAGGGGGAAAATATAAAATGGGTTTCCGCAAACTATCCTGTTACAGGAAGTCCTCGACTTACAACAGTTCATTTCGTGACCGTTCAAAGTTATAGTGGCCCTGAAAAAAGGGACCAGTTTTCATACTTACGACCGTTGTAACATTTCCCAGGGTCATATGATTAAAGTTCAGACACTTGGCAACTGACTCATATTTATGACGGTTGCAGTGTCGTGTGTGTGTCTCTGTGTGACATGATCCCCTTTTTGCAACCTTCTGACAAGCAAAGTCAATGCGGAAGCCCAATTCACTTAACAATTTGACTAATTTAACAACCACACTGATTAATTTAACATCCATGGCAAGGCCGGTCGTAAAATGAGCCAAACTCACTTAACAAATGTTTCACTTAGCAGCAGAAATTTTGGGCTCGGTTTTCATCATAAGCCAAGGACTATCTGTAATCTTTAAACAAAAATTATTCATGGATCATTGACGCGTTGCTATTAATACAATTGTCCACCCCTTTTCTTTTTTAACCCATTGGGACGTTTCGTGAGCCCATTTAATGAATCAGTTTGGTGTAGTGATTAAGGTGGTGGTTTAGAAACCAGGAGATGCGAGTTCTAATCCCACCTTGGTCATGAAAGCCAGCTGGGTGATTTTGAGCAACTCTTTCTGCCCAACCCACCACACAGATTTGTGGTTGTGGGGAAAAGAGGAGAGAAGGAAAGACTGCAGGTATTCTTCAACTTACAGCCACAGTCGAAGCCAAAATTTCTGTTGCTAAGTGAGACATCTTGTTAAGAGAGTTTCCCCCATTTTATGACCTTTTTGCCACGGTTGTTAAGTGAATCGCTCCATTGGCTTTGCCTGTCAGAAGGTCACAAAAGGGGATCACCTGACCCCATGACACTGTGACGATTCATAAATATGAAACCAGTTGCCAAACATCTGAATTTTGTATAACACTTCCAATGTTAATATAAATAGTAACGGGGAGAGTGGACATTGTGTGCCTTTTTTATATTAAAATTCTCCACATAAATACCCGTTGACTATTACTTTTGCTATTTGCTTATAATATATTGTCTTAATCATGTTTACTTCTCACCAAAATTCATATATTCTAACTGTCGTGTCATGAATGGCCAACTTACACTGTCAAAGGCTTTCTGTGCATCTAAACGCCAGTTGCTCTCCCAGGTGTGCTTCATAATATTCCAACGTGTCCAGAATAAATCTTACATTATTTTTAATTTGTCTTTTTTTGGTAGAAATCCATTTTGATCCGGGTGAAATAAATTCATTCAGAAATCTTTTTAATCTCTCTGCCATTCTCGATGCAAAAAATTTTATCATCTGCATTATCGGTCCGAAGTGTAAAAACCCGGTCATAAGCCATTTTCCCCAGTGCTGTTGTAACTTCAGTCGCTAAACGAACCGCTGTATGTCAAGGACCAACTGCATGACCTGTAATAAAGGAAGGATTAAAAATCTAATCAATAAATAGTAAAGGAATAAAGGAAGGATAAAGGGAAATGCAAATAAGTACATCAGCTCAAGGTAGCTTCCATGGGGGTTTTAGCTCCCACAAGGATCCCATGAGGTCATCATGACTGCCAGGAAGCACCTCCACATAAATTCCCTTTTTTATGACTTTCTATAGGCGTGGTTGAACTCGAATCCAAGCCTCCCTATTCTTAAATTAACATTTTTAGCCCTTAACACCAAATTGGCTCTCAAAACTGACCCAATTAACTCCATTTTGCTGGCTTCCCAGGTCCCTGAAGCCCAGATAAAGCAACATTCAACAAACCTGCATTCCCACTAACCAGGGTTAGTTGTTAACCCAGTTTAAAGCCTTCCACAAGCCCAACTCCAGGGAAAGGAGACAAAAGGCCTTCTGCTTCAACCTGCCTCTTATAATTACCCCCAAAAGGGTAAAAATGACAGCCCCCCCACCTTGGCAGCCATTTTTTTAGAGGCCCCAAATGAATAAACACTCAAAACACTTCCATAAATAAAAGTTTGGAGGGAAAAGGACATCCCACATTTCTGTCGTACTAATGAAACTTCGCCACCTTGTCGCTCTTAAATTTCCTCTTTCTAATTTTATTTTTCTTCGCATTGACCCACGTCGCGCCTCCTCCGCCTCGCGTAGGGCTTAAATTGGCGGGAAATTTTCTAGTTGCCATGGCAATGAAGAGAACGCGCGAGTGCGCAGGCGCCTAGCTAAAAGGGAATCATTTCGTGAGTTAGGCTGAAGAGGGCGCCCTTTTCTTTAAAGGCGACGGCTGCGCGTTCTGATTACGTTATTTAGCACTATAGATTTACGAAAATAATAGAATAGAAAAGTTTCTATAAATACATTCCGAGTTCACTCAGGGAATATTTTTTGTTACCATCGCAGAGTTTTCGCTCTGAGATTAGAATACTGGTCTGTACATTATGAGGATTATATGTAATCTAAAGCTTCTGGAGGGCAATGGTACAAGTCGGTTGAACGCGAGACCAAATTATTAATATTAATAATAAAAATAATAATTATTTATTATCAGTGTACAACATTACTCGAATTTAGAGGGGATCTTCCGAAATGTATCTATCTATGGGGTCGGGAAAACTCTACACCGGCTTGATGGGGCAATTAATTAATTTCCTAACAGAGAGACGTGCAATTGATTTGCAGAAGAAGAACGCTACAAACGACGTTCTTTCCGCGTAGGGAAAAAAAATCCACTCCTGATCCCGGAAGTCGTTTCTCTGAGCATTTCTCTATTTTCGTCATTCTACAAAGGGAAAAATCACTTCTGATGACGTCAGGAGCCGCGCCGCGGCGACAGCGGATGACGCCTGAATCCGAGCGACGATGACAGAAGCGAAGCAGCTCTCCGAGGCGTCGCGATGCCGCTGGAAGCCGGGCCGGCTCGCCTGGTCCGCTCGGCCCAGAAGGACGAGCTCTACCGGGGAGCGCTGAAAAGCAGGGCCGGCGCCGTCTTATCCGGACTGGCGGGTGAGGCGCCTCCGCCTTCCCTCCCTTCTCCGCCTTCCGCCTCCGCCTTCTCCCATACCCCGAAGCCTTTTTCTGGGCGTTTTGCCTTAATATTCGAATTTAAATGGAAATAAATATATATTTATACGTGTTTTAATGTGATGCCAGGTTGGTTTATGAAACAACATTCAGGAGCTTCATGTGAGAAGGAAGCGAGCCCATTTTCAAAGCATGTTTTGTCATTCATCAGCAACATACCCACAAACACACACCCACATACACACAAACATATATATAGACATATATAGACATATGTACATATATATACATACATACATACATACATACATACATACA